TTCTAAACAACACTTCATGAAAGTCTAAATCAGAACAACAAACTGATGAAAGTAATTCAAAAGCATAAGAACCAAAAAGGAAGAAATGAAAAGTTATTTTTGACAGTTGAAATTATGAAACAATGAGAGAAATTACCTTGAGACCATATTTTTTAATTTTGGGGCTTTATAAGAAATTGTTAGAAATTATAATGTTTGAAAAAGGAAAAAAAAAGATACAATTGACAACAGAAACAAAAACTAGAGTACCCAGAAAAATCAAACCCCTAGTGTTTAACTGTTTTTCCATATTTTTCCATTTGTGGAGGGATTTGCTGTTCCACTTTGTACCTGCACACAATATAACAATACAATTTGGCCAGTATTACTCCCCAGCCTTTCCAGCTCCCTCCCCCCCTCCCACCCCCTGGTCTCTTTCCTCTACTGACCTCCCTTTCATTTTCCTGAGATCCACCCCCACCAACAACCCATCCCACCATCTTTCTTTTCCTGTTTGCTCTTTAGCTTCCACATATGAGAGAAAATATAGGACACCTCACCTTCTGAATTTGGCTTATTTCACTAAACAAGATATTCTCAAGTTCCATCCATTTCCTGCAAATGACATAACTTCACTTTTATTTACAGCTGAATAAAACTCCATCCTATGTGTGTGGGTGTGGACCCCATTTTCTTTATTCGTCTGCTGATGGACACCTAGGCTGGTTCCATTGTCCGGYTATTGTGAATCRTGCTGCTATCGACATGGTTATGCATGTACCTCTGTAGGGTGATGACTTTATCATTCTTCAGTATAAATAGTGAGGAGTGGTATAGCTGGGTCATATGGTGGTTCCATGCCTAGTCTTTGAGGAACCTCCCTACCAAATTCCATAGAGGTTGTACTAATTCACAATCCCACCAACAGTGTACAAGTTCCTTTTTCTCCACATACTCTCCAGCATTTATAATTGTTTGAGTTCTTGATGACTGCCATTCTGACAAGTGTAAGATGARATCTCAGTGTAGTTTTGATTTGCATTTCCTTAGAGTTCAAATTGGTACATACATCCTTTCCCACTTTGCTACTCCTTTTCCCACTCCTCACATTATAAATAAAATTTTTAACTACATCCTGCTTTGCGTTATCATAAATTAAATAAGAAAATTACCTGTGCTCTATAACTTATTGAAGTAAATTACTTACATCAATAAAATTTTCAATCTTTCAGATATCTGTTTTGTAAGACATATTCCATAATTTATCTCTCAGTATTTTTCATAATATCTTCTCAAATATCACTTAGAGTTATACCCGTCTTATGCCTTATGGCATAAACTGGTAATAATTCATGGGTTTTCACAGATCTTTTTCTTGTGTGTGTATGTGAATGCATACAAATTCCCAACCACACTCTTACAATGCAATAGCCTTTAATCTAATCCCATGTTTACTTAGCTTTATAAAAGAATAGTGAGCAGGATGTAAAGCAGAACCCGCATCTCATCTCCCCAGCAGGTCAGCAGCCACCCTGCACATACCTTCTTTCTCCCACACTGGTTGTGTATAGCTGTGGAAGATGAATGACAAGGTACTGTCTGGGCCCATCCACAGAGACATGCTGCAGCCTCTGTTTCCCACCGAGACAGCTGCCTTACTGAGCTGCCAATCCACAGAACACAAGGCAGTCAAGACACTCAAAATTTGTCTTAACTCCATAGTTTTAAAAAAAGAAAAGCAGTACTCTCAAAAGTTGGACTACAAGACCGTTTTCTAAGGCACTGTTGCCAGCTCTTCACAAGATAAGCCCAGACATATTGCTAACCCTTATTTGCACACATAATTCTTTAGATAGTATAGCACATTATCTGTTCTGAGAAGGATGATAACACTTCACATGGAAAACYTTTTAGAGCCAGTGACTGGCTCCTTAGGCTGAATGACCCAGTCAAAGGAGAGAGATGGTATTGCAAAGGGTCTTCCTAAAACCTTTCAATTCTTCTAAAGATAATCTTCAGGTTTTCTAATTCTTCAATTGACTTGAGTAATTTCTATTTTTCTTGGGAATTATGAATAACATATTGTTTCCAGTTTATTTAGAGCTTAAAGTTAAACAGTGTATGATAAATACTCATTTCTAAAAGGGATGTATTAATACCTTTTTTAAATTATAGATTTATCTATTCTCCTTTCTTTTGGTTCTATATGCCAGAGAGAGAGAGAGAGAGAGAGAGAGAGAGAGAGAGAGAGAGAGAGAGAGAGAGAATAAGAGTGTGTGCGTGTCTTTGTGTGTGTGTGTGTGTATTCATTTTTGAATCTGTGTTTTTAGACATATCTTCCTTAATGGATTGTGACTCTTAGCAACATGATAAAATGTCCCTCTGTTTTCTCCTTAATGTTTCTCACTTTGCATTTAACCATGTTTGATGTTAATATTGTTGGGCAGTCTCTCATTATGTAAGAATTTGCTGGTATAAGTTTCCCAGTCCTTTTCCATGTACTTGCATTTCATGATATTAAGGGAAAATTGACTCTAACACTTAAAATAATAAAGGGATTATTTTTCTCCTGTAGGAAGAAATCTGTGCTTGGACAGTGCCTCAGAGATGGTAGATAGCTGCTCACAAAAGTCACCAGAGACCCAGGCTTCTGTTTTCTTAGTCAGCCATCTGCCCCCTTGCATCTTTCTGCATCATTTTTTCCYCCTGTGGGTACATTTCTTTTAAAGAGCAGCTTGTGCTGTTAATCACCCTGAAAGTCATCTTTTAAAGGAGCTTAATAATAATTAATATTAAATTTTAAAGATATTGGATTTTAAAGAATTTCATCTATTTTTATTGATAATATGTTGGTTTTACTTATCATTTAATCTTATAAATGTTTTTATTTTAGAAACATTAGAATTTCCTTTTTTTTTTTTTTTTTTTGTACCAGGGATTGAACCTAGGGGCACTCAACCACTGAGCCACATCCCCAGCCCTTTTTTTGTATTTTATTTAGAGACAGTTGCTTAGGGCCCCCTAAGTCGCTGAGGCTGGCTTTGAACTTGCAATCCTCCTGCCTCAGCCTCCAGAGCCACTGGGATTACAGGCATATACCCAGCTAGATTCAATTTTCTTTTTTCATTCTTAGTGTTGCTTCTAAAAGTCATGCATTCTATTTATATCTTTCTAGTAATTATATACACCTTTTCAAAATACATATTTAAACACTTTATGTCCTATCTGGAGCCAATATTAGTATTAATATTATTTCATAAAAATATTAAAAATTTTAGCATACAGTATGGTTCACTTCCAATAAACCCCCTTTGTCCCATTTTAAAACCAAACATATTAACAATAAAAATAAAAGTGAATGGATAAATTTCTTTAAAATTCAAATTTAAATTCTTTGTTTCCAATTGTAAAGATTCTGAATTGAAAATAAATAACATGGTTATTTACATTTTACTGTAAATCAAACTGCTTTATTTTTGACCCTTTGGCTTACATGCAATATTTTCTTTCTCTTGTTTCTTTTAATGCAATTGGAATGCATTTGTGAGTAATTCATTCAGAAAGCATCTTTGGGTGGTAGTCTTCCTGAAGCATGGCATGCTCATTCTTCATTTTGTTCTCTTATTTGAAAACTAGTTTTGCTTTCCTCATAAGGCTATGTTTCCTCCTTGAGGATCACTTGCAAGAATTCTGATTTTTATTTAAAATATTCATTTCAAGATCCTGAGCAGAAGAAAGACATGATTTAAGAATTTAAAAAGTTCACTCTATTTGCTAGCTCGAGAATAAATTTCAAGGGCCCAGTGCAGTAGCTGGGAGACTAGCTGTAGGCTATTGCAGCCATCCTAACCATAGACAGTAATAAACTAGATGAAGAGTGTGGGACAAGATGAGATTTTAAACACATTATATAAATAGATATTACCAAATATCATTTTTAAAGTATTATTTTTGAATTATTTTTAAAAATCATTTTCATTTCCTTAACAAATTGGAAAATGAATATTAAAATAAAAATAAAAAGCTTTAGGGATAACTTTAGGGTATTTGACCTCCTCACCTGGAAGTATAGACTTTCCATCAGATAAAATACCAAAGAACTTTGATGCAGCAATTTGGAGTTGAATTTCATCAGGAATTCATTTGGGGACATGTTGAGCTTCAGAAATGTATTACCTTGAAAGTGAAGATGTTGAGTACCCATAATTCATAGTCTACAATGTTTACTTTACTTATTTCAAAAGGAGCAAGATTTAAAGAATATCGTGCAGTGAGCTGAATGTATGATGCACCTAGCTTCATCTTTTCAAAACTTTAGGCTTCACTAAAGTAATAGTTAATCTTTATTGTCATACCTAAACATTTCAACTTATTTCCTCAGAAACAACCCTCTTTGGACATTCATATGTTATAAGTGTATGTAATATTCAATTTAAAAATGTGCACACTAATCAATACAAATAGCATGAATGGATTTGAGAACAAAAATGGCGGACTCTTGGTATGCAATAACTTGCTGATGGGAGGGCAYAAATGTACAATTTAGGGAAGAGCACTTACCATGTTCAAACTTCCAAGGCTAGGACTAGAACATTTTAGTTAACCCAGGGAGTTGATCAGCTGGTGGTCAATTAAGAGAGTCCAATGTGCTATTGAAGTTCTTTAAAAAAAAAAAAAAGCATTATACTAGATTACTCTCCAATCAACAGATTTGAGAGTGACAGCTTCTATCAACTCTTGGTGTCATGAAACTCCTTAACCCTTGGGTGAAAAGACTTCATTTTTAAATTTACGTGTCTTTGTGAATGAAGTTGGGCATTTTTCATCTGTTCGATGGATATTTGTATTTGACCACTTTGAAGAAAATACATCTAGAGTTGTGTCCATCTCCAATGTAACTGTCACTTGGACAGTTTAGCATCAGTTCATTTTTGAAAAGTTCATTTATATTGTCAGTACCTCAAGTATTGATTGACTTTAATAATAACTCACTTGCCATCTGCTCTTCTTTGCCTGTTTAGGAATTACTTGGAACTTGTTGCAAAATCCATTCAAGATTGGATCACAAAAGAAGAAGTGATATATCAGGAACTTAAAATGGCTGAGGAAATCAATAAGACCAAGGCTGAAATAGAATTGAAATCTTCTGCCATAATGTCTGCCAGTAAAACTCCTACCTCCAAAAAATCTAAAAGTAAGTAACTAGTTTATTTCATATCTGGAATAAACTCCAAAGATTTCCTTCTATGTCCTAGTTTAATCAAGACTAAATATTTCAAGATTAAAAAGACTTGCCCTCAAAATTCCTATGACTCATCACTATCTCTAATAAATAGAATAAYGACATTCCAGATATGATGAGACACTGGGGTATCTATCTCCTGAGTGAGATAATGGAATATTTGTCTGTATTCACTCCACTTCCTGTCAAATGTGGAAGATTAAACTCTTTTAATCAAATCTGTGGTGCAGATCAAATGTTAGATGTTAGGGCAATGCCAAATGTCTTTACTGGTAAGAATTGTGGGTTAAGCTATCTGGATCTATTGACAATATATGAAGCAAATTCACAAGCAGCGGGTCTCTATTAGAATAATCATGGATTCCAACGGTGAGATTAYATCAGGACCCTCCTTAAAACAACAAATGAGAATCCCAAGACTTCCTGGAGAGATAGAAGAAGGGAGGTTCTTGGAGGCTGTGGCAAGGACCTGACAGGATCCTGGATCCATGCATATCATTTGTTTTTGTTAATTTCCATGGTGGGTGGAGAGGAGGGTGACAGAGGAATGAAGTTCAATTTCAGAAAGACAATCAATAAAAGACAATACCAGAGAGCAGTTCATCTGAAAAAATAAAGATATTTCACTGAATTTGTGCAAAAGAAAATGAACTTCCTATTAAAAGTATTAATTATTTATGAGAGCCAAAGTTGAGAATTATTTCTCACAAAGAAGCAAAAAAATGTTATATAATTTTCAAAAAAGTTGTAACTTCTTTTTAAAAATTTTTTATTTGTTCTTTTAAGATATACATGAGAGTAGAGTGCATTTTGACATACATACCTGGTATGTAACTTATTCTAATTAGGATCCCATTCTTGTGGTGGTACATGGTGTGGAGTTACACTGGTTCTGTATTCACATATGAATGTAGGACAGTTATGCCCAATTCATTCTACTGTCTATCCTATTCCCATCCCTCCATTCCCTTCATTCCCCTTTGTCTGATCTAGTGAACTTCTGTCCTTCCCTCCTCCTCCCTTATTGTGCTTTACCATCCACATATCAGAGAGAACACTCAGCCTTTGATTTTGGGGGATTGGCTTATTTCATTTAGTATGACAGTCTCCAGTTCCAACCATTTACTGTCAAATGTCATAATCTCATTCTTTTTTATGTCTGAGTAATATTCCATTGTGTATATATACATTCTCTTTATCCATTCATCTGTTGAAGGGCACCTAGGTTGGTTCCATACCTCAGGTATTATGAATTGAGCTACTATAAACATTGATGTGGCTGCATCACTGTAGTATTCTGATTTTAAGTCCTTAGTGTATAAACCAAGGAGTGGGACAGGATAGCTGGGTCAAATGGTGGTCCCATTCCAAGTTTTCTAAGGTATCACCATACTACTTTTCATCATGGTTGAACCAATTTGCATTCTCACCAGCAAAATATGAATATACTTTTTCCCCCAACATCCTTGTCAATACTTATTGTTACCTATATTCTTGATAATTGCCATTCTGACTGGAGTGAGATGGAATCTTCATGTAGTTTTAATTTGCATTTCTCTAATTGTTAGTGATGTCGAACATTTTTTAATATTTTTTGACCATTCATATTTCTTCTTCTGTGAAGTGCCTGTTCACTTCCTTTGTCCATTTATTGATTGAGATATTTGATTTTTTGGTGTTAAGTTTTTTAGTTCTCTGTATATCCTGGAGATTAATGTTCTCTCTGAGGTGCAGGTGGTAAAGATTTTCTCYCAGTCTGTAGGCTCTCTTTTCAAGTTCTTGATTATTTCCTCTGCTGAGAGGAAGCTTTTCAGTTTGACACCATCTCATTGATTGATTCTTGATTTTACGTCTTGTGCTTTAGGAGTCTTATCGAGGAAGTCAGTTCTTAATTTGACATCATGGAGAATTTGGCCTACTTTTTCTTCTGTTTGGCACAGGGTCTCTCTCGTATAATGCTTAGGTCTTTGATCCACTTTGAGTTCAGTTTTGTGCAGGGTGAGAAAAAGAGGCTGTATATCATTCTACTACATATTTTTCCCAGCACCATTAGTTGAAGAGGCTATCTTTACTCCAGTGTATGTTTATGGAGCTTTTGTCTAGTATGAGATAACTAGGCTTATGTGGGTATGTCTCTGTGTCTTCTATTCTATATCACTGGTCTTCATGTCTGTTTTTGTGCCAATGCCATGCTGTTTTTATTATTATAGTTCTGTAATATGATTTAATGTCTGGTATTGTGATGCCTCTTCCATCACTTTTCTGGGTAAGGATTGCTTTGGCTATTCTGGGCCTCATTTTTCCAAATGAATTCCATGACTGCTTTTTCTACTTTTATGAAGAACATCATTGGAATTTTAATAGGAATTGCATTAAATCTGTATAGCACTTTTGGTAGTTGGCCATTTTGACAATATTAATTCTTCCTATCCAAGAACATGGTGATAACGCTGGTTATCCAGTGAAAAGTTCTGCTTCTTCACACATTGAAGTGTAACATTAGAGAAGCACACCAAGGCAAGCATATAAAGCAGGGTTTATTTAAAAAGGGGTCACATAGACTTCTCGTGGGAGGGAGAAGGGGGCCATAGCTGGTATCCTGGTATCCCAAGAGGGGAGGTGTTCTGCCCTTTATAAATCCTGGGCTTTCTTTGTTCTGCCCTCTTCCCCTTATCTCTCTCCTTTCTTGCATATGTGACTAGGCCTAGGAAATGCTCCTGGGATGGCCAAAAAGTGGAAAATAGGTGGGCTGAAGGGGGAAGGGCAGGATGGTGCAGCCCAGGACACATTAACAAGGCCCTGACTTGATTTACCTATCTATGCTGATTGCCTAATTCTGGCTTCAATGGGAGATCTTTCCATCTTCTAAGGCCTTTTTCAATTTCTTTCTTTAGTATTCTGTATTTTTCATTGTAGAGGTCTTTCATCTCTTTTGTTAGATTGATTCCCAAGTATTTTGTATTTTATCTTTGTGTGTGTGTGTGTGTGAGGCTATTGTGAATGGGTTAGTTTTCTTGGTTTTTCTTTCTGCTGATTCATGGGTGTAAAGGAATGCAACTTATTTATGGGTATTAATTTTATATCCTGCTGTTTTGCTAAATTTGTTTATGAGTTCTAGCAGTTTTCTGGTGGAGTTTTTTGTGTCTTCCAAATATAGAATCATGTTGTCAGCAAATAGGGATAGTTTGAGCTCTTCTTTTCTTATAAGTATCCCTTTAATTTCTTTCTTTTGTCTAATTGCTCTGGCTAGGGATTCAAGAACTATGTTGAATAGAAGTTTTTCTGCCCTCTTCCCCTTATCTCTCTCCTTTCTGCCTATGTGATGGCCTAGGAAATGCTTTATGGGATGGGCAAAAAGTGGAAAACAGGTGGGTTTTCCAGTTTTTAGAAGAAATGTTTTCAATTTTTCTCCATGTAGAATGATGTTGGCCTGGGGTTTAGCATATTTGATCTTTACAATATTGAGGTGTGTTCCAACTATCCCTAGTTTTTCTAATGTTTTGAGCTTGCATGGATGCTGAATTTTGTCAAATGCTTTTTCTTCATCTTGTGTTTTATCATGTGATTCCTGTATTTAAGTCTATTGATGTGATGAATTATGATTATTGGATCCCATATGTTGAACTAATCTGTTGCAACCTCCTTTAACCCTATCACCCAGGTATTTCTGTACCACTTCMGATGTCCCTTCCTGAAGATGGCAAGAAAGAGTATAGAGATGAATGAATGGAGAGTTGAATTGGATGACATTGGAGATCACCTCCAACCCAGAGACTTGTCTTCTATGATTATTTAAGGGATTTACTAAAAAGTTTACTTTTTCTCTAATTATAGGTAACAAAATGCTCAGCAAAACAGAGATACTAGATCAAGAAAAGGAAAAGGAAAAGGAAAAAGAAAAGGAAAAGGAAAAGGAAAAAGAGAAAGAGAAAGAGAAGGAAAAGATTCCTTTCATTTTAGAAGGTTCTCTCAAGGTAATCTAAACAAAGATAAGCAACACTAATTAATCACCAATCCAAAATTATCCTGTGGTGGAGAGTTAGTGTGAAGTCATACAAAATGATCCCTGTTGCTAAACCCTCAAAAATAATTGAAATTGGAATGAAAGGATTGACTCTCCACCACTGTCTCCTCCAGCAGAGGAGCATTTCAGAGAATCTGTGTCACCTTTATTTTTGTATAATCACAATCCAGGGCAGTGCCTTGATTGTAGTCGGTATACTCTTTTGTTGTTGTTGTTGAAGGTGTTTGTATTTTGCTTTAATATTTTTATTTTATTGATTCCCAAGTATTTTATCTTTTTTTTTTTTTTGAGGCTATTGTGAATGGGTTAGTTTTCCTAGTTTCTCTTTCAGCTGATTCATTGGTGTATAGGACTGCAGTTTATTTATGGGTATTAATTTTATATCCTGCTACTTTGCTAAATTTGTTTATGAGCTCTAAATTACTTATGTAATTTTTGATTACAGAAGTCATATAGGCTTTTGCAATAATTCAAAAGTACCTTGACTTATATCATAAGCCCCTGAGATAAGGAAGTTTGGGTGTGTTCTATGCTCTGCAGGCGCATTTACATGAATATACTGAGGATTTTTGTTTGTTTATAGGTTAGGTTTGGTTTAGTTTGGGCTCTGTCCTTCTGGAACTGTAGTATGTCTCCCTCCTGGCATGGTCATATATTCACCAGCTCAGAAGACCCCGATGCCCTGTGGTTTAGGGCTTTGCGATCATTAACTCAAATTTCAGCTTATCTCTCTTCCCTGAAGGTCAAAAGAGGAGATGTGAACATTCTAAGCTTTTAACCAGGATTTGATCTTTTTGGTGACCAGCTCCCACCCAGTCCTGAAATTATCCAAGAGCTCACCAAGAGTTGCCTCATTAGAATAAAAGATGCTCCTAACACTCCCAAAATACGCAGGGATTTAAAGCTTGACACCAAGATCCAGGATTGAAGAACTAATATCTGTTTCTTATTATATCATAATATCACATTTTCTATTAAACTCGGCTTTCACTTATCTGGGGGAAAATGGCTTTATTTTGACCCTATTCATTAAATGTAGTTTTCATTTATAAAATTCTGGGCGACTTTCTTTCTACAAGATATTGTTAACACTTTGAAGATATTGTTCCACATTTTCCTTGCTGACTTTGTGGCTCTTAATAAATTGATTTTGATTTAATTTGACATTCTTCTATAAACAGTGCATCTTTTCTCTCTAGCTGCTTTGAAAACAGTTATGTTGGTATGCTGGCAAATGTTTAACAGTCACTCTCTAGAAAAACAAAAGTGTGCCTTTTGTGAATATATAAGCTTATTGTACATGTTACTGTTATGTTGTATATAAAGCACACAATTTACCAGTAATAAATCATTCCATATTCTATTATAAATCCAGTATAGCCAGTTGATTCTTCTAGAACACTTTCATTGATTTTTCTTAAATTCTTGTATCCTTAGCTAGCCTACGGTTACAAATGACAAGCAAGTATAATTCCAGTATGAATGTTGATTAATAGCTTCATTTAGGTTAACAAGACAAAAATGAAATAACAAAGGGGCACATCTCACTCATTTGTTAATAACAGGATGCAAGCAACCTCTTGTGAATCAAGTAATAGTTTAGAATAATAGAAGACTATTTTCTCAAATTTTTGTGCTTGTTATAGTATAATAGCTACAGGTACCACGTGCTTTTAAGTTTAATCTACRTTCTCTCCATCATTTTCTTCAATATAGATAATCAATCAATCCTTAATTTGTAGCATTTGCTGATATCTATAGTGTAAATATCCCCACAGGGGCTACCAATAGGGCTTCACTGAAGGCTGAGCCCAATGGAGTAGCACACCATGTACAGTATAGTGTTTCATGATACAGACAGATGCCAGTGACATAAATGGCCTTGAGAGCATAGATAATAGAGAAAAGTAAAAAATATATATATATTATGAAGAGGTGAGTTTTGAGTATTTATGGCCTTTGCTCTTTTAAGTTAACTGTGCATTTCTATAATTTATTTTTTGATGATGGCTATGGTGAAACTGACTCACARAGTTCCTAAAAATGTAACAGCAAAATCTTTCAAGTCAGTATGAGCCAGGTTGAGCCCACCACTGTTATTTCCTGCTTTTGATTCATTGACCTTCCTGAATGTCAAGATGAATGTCTTTCATCTATTCTGAAGCCCCTCCGCCACTCTCTGTTCAGAGACTGCCTCCTCCAAAGCTCCATTTCTAAGAGACACTGGCACACTCAGCTTGCCACCTTCGATGCTCCCTTTCTTACTTTACTTTTGACACTTTTTGTTATTAAATTTAAGCATACTAAAAACTTATATTCTCTTACAATTCTAGTGTGGGTAGTCTTTGTAGATACACTACACTTTCACAGCTTGTTTCTTCAGACTCATCAAACCCAAAGTGGCTTATTTCCTCATGTTTTGTGATTTTCATTTGTGAGCTCATAATCGACTTTTTTTAAAAATGAAGTGTTATGGCAATCTACACTTTGGCCACCAATCTGTGAGGACAGGCTYATGGACAGGAGTTCTCTAAGAATTAGACTCCCACCCCACCCCTGCTTAATCCTGGGGCCAAGGAGGCAGGCTAGAATTTCTCACAGTCTTCTAGTAATTCTTCTAGTTCACCCAGTGAAGGTGATAGATACTTTTTAAATACCAGCTTTATCCAGAGATCTCTGATCTGATCTTCCAGATTTTGTCTCTAGTCTCCAAGATCCATTAAAACCCAAGTTTTAGGCTGTTGGGATGGGAAAACTTGTCTTCAGTTCTCACCTACCTCACTGAATGAGGGCTTGTTCATGTCCTTCACTTTTCTGGCAGCCTCAATATGCCTTACAATGCTTTTAAAATTGTTGTTATCAGTTGTTTTTTAAATATTGTGTGCCAGGAGAACATCGAGACTGCCACGTGGCGGATGAACTCTCTTTAGGACCTAAATGGAGGATTTGGTCTCATGTGGCAAAGAATAGGAGATGGGAAGACCAGCTAAGAGGCTACTGCAACAGTCCAGGCTAAAGATAGTACCGATCTGAAATAAGGAAATTATGACAGAGGATGAGAGAACAAGGTGACATGAAGAGAGAGCTCTGAGGAGAATTTATAGGATTTAGTATTACAGAAGTCAAGTGCAAATAGAAAATAGAATCAAGGATAACTTCAAGGTGTCTAGCTCAATGGTTTGATTGGTTAGAGCCATGACTTACAAAATTGATGCTGAGTTTTCTCCAAAATGAACCCTAATATAACCCATATTACATTTGTCTCAAAAATTCTGTTACATTTTTTAAAAATATATATTTTCAGGCATGGAAAGAAGAACAAGATCGATTAGCAGAAGAGGARCGCTTAAAGGAAGAAAAGAAAGCAGAAAAGAAGAGTAAAGAAGCCGCCGTTAAAAAGAAAGGCAAGGAAAAATTAGAGAAGGATGAAAGTAGTAAGTCTTTGAAGAAACAACCGTCTCTCAAGGACAAAGTTAAAGAAGGAAAAACAAGTGTCATACAAGAACCAGAGGAGCCCATCCAGGAGCCACAACCTGAGAGAGTTTACCCGGTAAAATCAATTTTCTCGATCTCTTTTTTATTTTTATTTTTTCTGGCAGTCCTGGGGATTGAACCCAGGGACACTCTATCACTAAACTACACTCCCAGATATTTTTATTTTATTTTATTTTCAATTTTGAGATGAGGTCTCACTAAATTGCCTAGGCTGGCCTTGAACTTGCAATCCTTCTGCCTCAGCCCCCTGAGTGGCTCGGATTGTAGGCACACACCACTAAGTAAAATCAATTTTCTACGAAGTCTGTTTAGAGTATTTCTAATTGTTCTAGGGCAAGGTTTCTTTCATAAACCTGTATTTCACCTTCTTATATCTAGAACCTTCTTTACAGCCGTCACCAAGATAGGAGGACCCTGGGACTGCCAGTTTTTCTTGAGTATCATGAAGCTAGATTAATAAGGGCAGTAAAGATGGCAATCTGACACAGAGTGTCTATCTAGGTATATGCAAAGAAGCAACTAGGATGGGGCCACATGAAGGCTGACTTTGTCTCAGAGGAGAGGACTTTCTGAGCACATACAGTTAGTTACCTCTCTGCAGGCACCCATTGTTCTGGCTTACAGGCTTTTACAAAACCTTCTCCTTGCTAACTCTCCTTTAAGTGGCTATTTATTCAGAAAACCTGGTGAGAAAAAAAAAGGTAGATTTGTAGATTTTATTCTAAACCAATTAGTCTCCAATTTTTAGCATGTATCAGWATCACCTGGARCTTTAGTGACAACATTTAATTAAAGGGCTGGGGATGTGGCTCAAGCGGTAGCGCGCTTGCCTGGCATGCGTGCGGCCCGGGTTCGATCCTCATACCACATACAAACAAAGATGTTGTGTCCGCCGAGAACTAAAAATAAATATTAGAAAATTTWAAAAAATTTAATTAAAAAGATCTTAGGCACCTGACCTTCTAAAGTGTTAAATGTCAATATTTCTCAGCAAATCAGTCCACTTTAAACAGAAAATTAACCAGGGAATGAGGACTAGATTTCTGCTCATACTGCACTRGCAAGAGTAAAGTGATTTGATCAGGACTAGGTGATGATAATGCTCCAGTGGACACAGTTTAAAACCACAGGCTTCTTTTAATTCACCTGTCATTATAACACCACGCAAGTTTCTAAAGAGTATATGGACCCTGGCCTCTGAGTCTACAGAGTGACAAACATGTTGTTTAGCAGAAATTAAGCTTATGGCAACTTTAGCTGGCTAACACGGATAAGGTGTGTTGTCAATCAGTTGCAGTTCTACACTCAAACCGTGATGTTTTCTTTTCTAGTTTCATGGATACAATATGGGAGATATACCTGTCCAAATATCAGGGACAAACTACTATCTATATCCTTCTGATGGAGGACAGATTGAAGTAGAAAAGACAGTGTTTGAAAAAGGTACATTTTGAAAGCAGATGGTTAATGGCTTGAAAGATGTTAATTCATTTCAAACAATCATGAGCTTGCACCTCTGAGTGTGATGGGAGAAAGTGTTGACATATCTGTTGTAGTTCATGAGTGCACCGCATTCCACATTTTCAGATGTTACATTCTTCCATCATAATTGATTCTGCAAGGCATAGGCCAGCCAAGAATTTGGCTCAGATACATTGATATGACCATTCCTGCTTGTTAGAATATTAAAATACTTCCACATGATTAGTAAATAGTATATTAGTCACTGCAGTAAGCAAATAGGTGATTAATAATATTAATTACAGCACACTTTTTTTTTCTCAGAAACCAAGCACATATTGTGAATTCACAGCATTTTTCTGGTCTGGGCTGTGGAACACAGAGCTTGGGGGTCTGGTGCTGATCCTTTAGCTCTTASTAAAATTTGCATATTTATACAATGCATAAAAATACCAGATGGTTCAGAGTGAATACAATATTTTCATCCTAACCCTACCAATTTTGAGAGATGGCTCAATCAAAGTTGAAAAGAAAGGCTGGATTACAAAAGAAAAAAAAAAAACAGAGAGATGAAGATAAATGAATCAGAACACCAAGAGAGAATGGGTGGTTGGGAAAATTCTTACAACTACTATAAAACAGCAACTATAACTAACACTCATAACTTTTGTAAGGTACAATACCATTTCATATTAATGACCTCATTTGATGGATCGTAAAGTCCATTATAGGCATCCATTTTTTCGGCCAACTTAGTTTTTGTTCTCTAATTTGATATGAGAAGTGATCTCCTTTAGGCATCTTCTTACTTCCATGTACCCAGGTGTTTCCACTCCCTGGTTGAACCTCTTGTCAAGGAGCTTCGTGTGGCATCCTAAATCTGTCCTGTGGTTCTTCCTTAGGCCCAACTTTTATCAAAGTGAAAGTGATAAAGGACAAGCACAATTTTATAATCCATTTAAAAGACCCGAAGGAAATTCAAAAAGAGCAAAAGCAAGAAGAGGATCATTTTTCAGAAGAAGAGAAAGATGAAGAACAAAGTTTGGGAACAAGTAAGCCGTGCCATCTTTGTAACAGTGCAAGTTGATCCTTGAGACCCCCCTGATCGAAACACACAGCATTACCAGATAACATCTAAGGTGTCTTGCCATTCTGCTTATATATATTTTCCCCTGATGTAATGTGTATATTCATTGTATATCGTGGGATGGCCAGCACCTCGCCAGGGAATTCTTTCCTGCTCAGAGGGTTAAGCCTCCTGCAAAATTAAAGTCTAGAATAATTAGTGAAGAACAAAAGTCAAAGAGTCAGAAAGTATAGTTTCAAAAGTCAGAGCCCCTGATAGAGGGCTGTCCACACAGGAGCTAGAGCTTAACAAGTAGAACCTGATTTATTTAAGGAGGTACCTCAAAGGCAGGGGATAAGCTTTCAAGGGTGGAGTCTTGCTTYGTGATGTATTGCAGTCAGCAGGTTGATGGGCATCTTGGCAGGTCACACACCTCAGAGGGCTGTGTGGCTAGTGGTTGTAGCAGGTCACTCCATCTTGGTGCTGTGTGGAATAGGCTGAGCAGAACAGGGCTCACAATGTCTCTCTGCCATCAATCTGAAGAAATGACCACTGGAAGTTCCCAGACACCAGTTTATCCAATTTACTAGGCTGTGGTGCGCAGTGAAGTCCACAGATGGCTCTCAACACTTGTATACACAGCCTGCCTACACTGGGCTGCTTATTAGGTTCCCCTGCCTTAGCAAAGCCAGCTCTTGATCCAGTTCTCCTGCAGCATCTACCCAGGCTGGCTACTTTACCCATTCTGTCCTTAATTTTGGTTTGTGCACCTGCAGCAAGTGCAGTCTCTAGGACTCAGGTCCTCACTAATTGACTTCTACTGAAGTTGCCTTCTCTCCAGGATTCACTGCAAACAATGGAGTTGCTTTTTATGTTCTATCACTTAGTTCTCTCTAATACTACCAAATTTCCTAAGTTTCAGGACAAGGGAAAAATCCAATTTAGTCATGAGAGTCATTATGTACTTGGAATGAGAGGTACAGGTGGATGTTCACTAACTAAACATCATGAAACTTCCTGGTTGCACCATTTAACATCTCCAGGCTGTCCCACCTGGGGAAATTGATCACTTCTTTTCCAAAGTAATGTGGATCATACCTGAAAAAGGAGACAAATTAATTATTAAAATGTTTTCAAGTCCGATTAGTGATGGTATCAGTTACTAAATCTTACTTTTAAGTTTTCTTATAATGACATTTTCTAAACCCAAGATAAGAACACAATGTTTGACAAGTATGAATGTACCCAGGAATTTGGCAGAGAATTTTAAAAATTATTTTCCTTTGTTGTAGCTGATATAAAATATGTTGATGAGAGTTGTGCATAATTCTGCCACCACAGGGATAGCCACTGTTCATAATGTATTTCTCTCTTATTATCATCATGAGCATTTTCCTATTCACTGAATAGTCTTTGAAAACAAGATTCTTTAATGATTTAATAATATTTCCTTGGTATACACATATAGTTTATTTAAGCATTTTCATATTTTACATATCATCAGATTTCTATCAAAATAAATAAATATATTTGTACATGCATTCATATAAATTTAATCATTTTTTGCATACTTAAATAATATCCAATTTTTAGTTCTAATATTAAACATTCCATTCTGAGATTATCTTTTTGCACTTCAAAAAAAAAAAAAAAAAGCTTTAATTCTTTTCTAGAGTCTTTGGCCCATATTTGACCCACAATCTGTTTTTATATGGCCTATGAACTAAGAATAGTTTCTACATTTGTAAAGTGTTGTTACAAAAATGAATGTACAGAGCCAGGTATGCTGGTGTAATCCCCGTAGCTCAKGAGGCTGAGGCAGGAGGATCTCAAATTCAAAGCCAAGCCTCAGCAATTTAGCAAGACCCTAAGCAACTTAGTGAGACCCTGTCTTGAAATAAAAAATGAAAAGGGCTGGGGATATGTCTCAGTGGTTAAGAGCCCCTGGGTTCAATCTTCAATACCCCTACCCCACCCCCACCCAAAAAAAAGAACATACCAAAAAAGGAAAGAATGTGTGATAAAGACTCTGCGTAGCCCACAAAATCTAAAATAGTTACTGTCTGGCCATTTTCAGAAAAAAATTTGTTGCTGTCTAATCTAGATGAAACTGTCCAACAGCAGACAGGGTGGAACATGGGGGTGGGCGGATGAAGAATAGTGGCAATTGCTCACCACTGCTTGCTTTCTTCTTTTTCATTTTATAAAGGTTTAGTTATTGTTTGGTTTTTTATTTATTTATTTATTKWTTGTTTGTTTGTTTGTTTGTTTGGTCTTTTCCTCAGAAGGCACGCAGGAGCACCCCTCTCAATGCTTCTTTCTCCCTGGGCATCTCCAGTGATATCTTGGATGCTCACCGGGATTCTCATTCTTGTCTCCTTATCATTCTGGGTTGCTCCTGCGCTGTCTTGTAACTTCTGGATTAGAATTTGATAGTCCTTGTGACCTGAGGATCAAGCTCCCGCTTCAGGCCAGGGCAGTGTTCTTTGGTTTTTCATTTAATTGCTTTCTCCTTCCTTTGTTCCTGTTTTCCTTTCCTAATGCACGATTTGCAAAAATTTATCCTCTATGACATCTATGTCTTCTTCACGACTTCCTTCTGTTTAAATGATCGTTCTGGGCTCTCAGATACTCTTTTCACTCAATTTCCTAAGAAACTCGGTTGATTCTCAAAATTGACCATCCTCCCCTTCAACTCATCTACCAAACACTGAATGGTTTGATGGGGGCAGCATGTTTTAAATTCCAAAAAAAAATGCTTTTAAACATATCCTCATGTGTTTAAAAAATTCAAATACTTACTACTTCCATAATTTATATTTTACTGCATATGTGTTCTGTTCATTTTTTTTTTTTAATGATCAATATTCCTGTCTCTTTCCCTTAGTTCTCTGAAATGGTTTGTTTTAAAGCACTTGTCCTCAGGTCTCTACCAATACATCTTATTAATGCTATATGCAAATACCTATTTCCCTGTACCCTGATTGACACTAAGCATGATCTTTTTAAAATATACATTTTTTTTTAAAGAACAGTTTTCAGTTCATAGCAAAATTGAGCAGAAATTACAGAGATTTCCCTGGATCAATAAAATTCAGATCAATAAAATTCTTATGGCTATGCCATTCATCAGTTTATATTCTCTTTTCATTTCAACCTAGAGTCCTTAAAAYGGGAGTCTCCTGTTCTCATCCTCATAACCTTGCTTTCCTCTGACATCCTTAGGACAAGGTAGGGGCTATCCCAACTGTTTTCAAGCTGACTGTGGTAGAATAGTTAAGACCTCTATCCCCAGGCCTCCTGCTGTGTTTTGCTTACATTTCTTGAATAAAATGAAAATGTCCTTCATTTTATTTTGCCTTTTAGAAGCATCACGGAAAGAGAGTATGGCTGTCAGCAAGTTCGGATCCTTTTCTGCCACCTTAGAAAATGGAATCTGCCTCTCAATAAGTTACTATGGATCAAGTGGAATGGCACCAGGTGAAATAAATACAACAGAGGGGATGTGTGCCCCATGGTCAGGGATCCCTTCCCACCCTCAGATTGCACATTTGTCAATAAACCTGCTCTGATTTAACGCCTCCTCATAGTTTTGCTCAAGGTGGAGATATAGTTGTGTATGTGTGCATTATATACGTATGTGTGTAGGTACATATAAGTATATGCGTACATATATAATCTTTCATCTATAGCAAATAACAATACTTGGGCTTTTAAATACCATTTATTGTGTGTATAATCTTTCATATAATCATGAATATACATGTACGATTATACACACACACACACACACACACACACACATTCACATATTCCAATTATTTTTGTTAACTAGCCCATGAAAATACTTCTATTAGTTGGTGCCAAAAAAAAAGCATGATTTCCCAAGGAATCCTCTTGGTTTCTACAGAATAATATTTTTTATGAATCCTGTGCTGTGGAGCTGCTCAGTGTGTTTCAGGACATTAGTCTTAAAGGAGTCATTCATTGGACATCTTGAAGGATTTCTCTTCCCCACTTTCAATAAACAAATTCTCCAACTGGAAACTATTTCCTTTCAAACCGCAAAATGGCATGTCATTTTACAAGAACCAATTAGGAAATCTGTGGGTTTTCATGCATTTTAAAGGGATCTAACCGCAACATATTTTTTAAAAAGCATTACAGAATCAAGAGCTAATCCCTATTTTATATAGCCTTAAAACTATGTGTTAGGACAGATAGCCATTCACCTTACTATGTAGTTCTTTTTCTGTAGGGACAACATTCCCAGGGATCATTCTAATCTTGTTTGTTGATGGTATTTGAAATGTCTCTAGTGCCATGACCAGGAGATGTCTAAAAGCAGCTAGGAATGTGGATCTGGAACTGGGAATGAAGGTTATGCTTTGAGATAGAAATTCTGGAGTCAATATCATGTAGACGGCACTTGGAGCCCCAGTGGCGAATGAAATCATACATATTTAATATATATAATGAAAGCTGTCATCACCGGCTACATATCACAATCACATGTAATGCTTCACAAATAGAATTACTTGGGCCTAATTTTCTGAGTGTGGCTCAGTAGGTCAAGTAGGGTCTTAGCATCTTTTTAAAAATTTTCATAAGTAATTAATTATTATGAGCTGCCAGAGTTGAGAACATAATAAATCTTAGGACCTAAAAACATTTAAAGGGTTGACAAAAAGGAAGAGTCAGTAAAGAAGACTGAGGAAAAATTGACAAAGAAGTGCAAGATCTAGGGAGTGGTGACCTGGAACCTAGAAAAGAACAGAGTTCAGGATGAAAGGGGTGCTCTGGAGCTCCACACAGGATTCTTCAGCAGTTCTCATTTCAGGATTACAACAATCTCTTTTTTTAAAAATTTATTTACTTTTAATTTTAGGTGGACACAATATCTTTATTTTATCTTTATGCAGTGCCCCATGCATGCTAGGCGATCACTCTACCACTGAGCCACAACCCCAGCCCCCTAACAACAATCTCTTAAAACAGAAAAAATAGATCTAGTGCAAGAAAACTTCATTTATCATCTCAGCCAGAAATAATCCATTTCTTTTCTGGATTCCCTTGTTTGTACCATTTATTATATTCCTATTTAATATGTCCTTATATTCTGCTATTTGAGTTCAGATCTGTTATGATTTGGATCTAGCAACGTCCCCCAAAAGCCCATATGTCAGGCAATGCAACAATGTTCAGAGGTGAAATGATTAGATTATGAGAGCTGCAATCTCATCGTTGAATTAATCCACTTGATGGATTGATAATTTAAGTGAGCTACTGGATGGTAACTGTAGGCAGGTGGGGCRTGGCTGGGAGAAGTAGYTCATGGGGGCACCACCTGGACTATATCTATACCTGGCCTATTCCTCTCTTTTTCTGTCTGCTTCCTGGCTGCTTGACCTGAGCAGCTTTCCTCAGTCATGCCCTTCCGCCATGATGTACTGCCTCACCTCAGGCCCAGAGCAATGGGGTCAGCCAGCCATGGACTCAGCCTCTGAAACCATGAGCTCCAAGTTTTTCCTCTTTAATGTTGTCCTTTTCARTTATTTTGGTCACAGTGACAAAAAGCTGACTAACAAGAACTTAGTGTGCTTCATTTATCAATTAAATGAATGGAAGTTTAGTGCTGTATCATTAAAGAGTTTAGGCTGTAGATGCGAGAGCAAGAAATAATGGCTCAATCAAGCATACTAAAGCATAAAATCTTTCTAATTTTCTACCTATACTCCTGATTTTTAARTGAATATCAGCCCTATGAAATACATACAACTAAAAAGGCAAAAATTGCTGCCAACTTGTGTAAAATTTTTAGATGTGTTAAAATTTAACAAGCATATCAAATATGAATGTTCAATTATTTTGGTTTTTTTTGCTTTTCCTGTTTATAGAAGAAAAGGATCCCAATTTGGATATAATGTTGAATATCCCTTCAGCACTCACTACAACGGTGATTCCTGTTATAGTAAACATTCCTCAAGGTAAAGTAAAAGGGAAAGCAAAAACCAAGGAAAAACTCAGAGAATCCATTAAGGAGGAAGAGCACCCAAAAGAAGAAGAGAAAAAGGTAAATGAATCTTGGCACAGATTCCCAAATTGTTTGGGCCTCAATGTTAACTTTTTAAAAACCCTTACTTCTGTCAGTGGTGTTATCATCGTGTGTTATGGTTTGCGTAGGAGGTGTCCCCCAAAAGCTCATGTCTGAGACATTGCAAGAATTTCCAGAACTAAACTGATTGGACTGAGAGGTGTGACCTAATCCGAGGATTAATCCATCAATACAGATTCACTGGGTAGTAACTGTGGGCAGGTTGTGTGTGCCTGGAGGAGGCGGGCATGCCTCTGGGGTTTATGTTTTATCTCTGATGAGCAAAGCTGTCTCTCTGCTTCCTGGTTGTCATGTCCTGAACTGCTTTCCTCTGCCATGTTCTTTCACTTATGATGTTCTGCCTCCCCTTGGGCCCAAAGCTGTAGAGTCAGCCATGGACGGACAGAGACCTCTGATACCATGAGCCAAAATAAACTTTTTTCCCTCTCCATTGTGCTTGTCAGGTCTTCTGGTCACAGCAATTAAAAAGATGACTAAAACATAGTATGTATACTTTTTATTGGAGAGACACATTGTTATTCCTCATAGTTTCAACTAGAAGAATTTGCCACAAAAAGTTGGGACAGACAGCCATTCACCTTACTAGGTCTAGTCTCACTTTAGGAGACATTCTCCTACAAAAACTGACTCGGATTCTGAACAACTTAACTCAGTCGTTTCCTCACTGTGGTCTTTGCTTTTGTTAGATAAATTCCTTCTGTTTCCTACATTTATGACTTTATAGAGCTCCTTGGAGATAAATAACAATCAGAAGACACAGATCTGTAACGAAGCAACAGAAACAATTCCATTTGTTAGACTTGGACTTAGACACTGGTGTGCTGAGAATTCATCCAGACTAAGGGACAGCCCATTGCTGGTTAAAGGGTAGCCGACCTTCTAACCCCAGCCCTTCATCATAGGACACACATGCATGCACACACACACACACACACACACACACACACACACACAAACACACACACAGGCTTTAATTTTAAACATTTTGCTAATGGAATCCAGACCAAAATTCTCTCAAAGGAGAGCCATAAAAGAGGGACAACAAGAAAACTACTTGATTCTTTATATTTACCACTAAAAATACAAAGTACAAATAATCAACTTATTAGGAGGAAAAAAAGTGTGAAAATGCTCAAGAACTTAGACATCACAGTCTGACCCTTTAAAATTTTTAAGGTTTAAATGTTAATTTGCCTTTGCACCATTTTTACATAGCTGTACCAAATGTGTTTTCTTATGCCAGGTGACTTGACCTTTTCTTAAATCAAGAGCTCAAATTTTGAACAGAATAACCACAGATAATTCATTTAAAATGAATTTAGTCCAAAGAAACTTGGTAGCACACAAATCCGTTCACTCATTATTTTTAAAAATTGATGATAATGGAAGGGTCAGAGAAGATCATTACTGATTTTGTGTGTCATGATAAATTTGACATGGCAGGTCTGTGTTTTGCCATTCATTCTACAGAATTTCATAAGCCTTTTTCCTCTTAATTTTGCTTTCAGTTTTTAATTAATTTTTAGCTAATCATGCATATTTTTTCCTCTATTAGAAACAAAGACAGAAAAATCTAAATGATCTACAATAGAAAACTATTTAGAAAAGATGGATCCAGCAATTAGATAGTATTTAGAGAACCAACTGAAAAGCTGAAATGATTATCATTAGGAGTTGTACATTTACTCAAGCAAGAATTCGGACATTCTGCCCAAGAATTCATTAGAATTTTAAAGGACATCTACCCAAACTCTCATTAACTTATAACTTATAAATCACTTTTTATTATCTTTTTTTCCTTTTAGTATTTTTACTTGCTACAAAAGCAATGCGTGTTCATTATAAAMATATAAATGCAAACACCATATTAGCATAATAACTTTAGCACCTAATTATAAAAATTACACTAAAAAATGCAGAAGGTATGCTGGTTCCTGCACATTCCACCTGTCTTAGTCTTTTTGAGCTGCTATTATAAAATATGTTAGACTGAGTTATTTTACAAATAATAGAAATTTATTGCTTGAGATCTAGAGGCTGAGAAATCCAAGACCAAGGTGGGGCAGACTTGATGTCCCGTAGATGGCACCTTCTATGTGTCCTCACTTGGCAGAAAGGGTGAGGGGTACTCTGTTCAACCTCTTTTATAAGGACACTAATCCCAGTCATGAAGGCAGAACCCTGATGGCTTTATTTCCCAAAAGGCCTATCTCCATGGTGGGCCTGCACTTTGGGTAAATTTTGAAGGGACACCAGCATTCAGACCATAGCATTCCCCTCTCACCTTGTACATCCAAGTGGAGGCATTATACAAGGTCCTTTTTCAGCCCCATTTTCTCCATGAATCCTGTATTAGCTCCTGATCCAATCACTCCTCGAAAACCCCACATCTGAATATGGCTGCCTGGGTACCAAGCCTTGAACACATGAGCTTTTCAGAGACATTCCAGGTCCAAATCATAACAAATCCTTTCCCAATTATTTTCATTAACTTTAATATCTCCCTTTCCCGAGGAAAGATATGCCAGCCATTTGGTACCATCATATCATTTTCTCASCTGTCTATTTGCCATTCTACAAGAAGAACATAAACTTCACCTTGGCAATGACTCAGTATCCTTTCAGGATCTATTGCAGGGTCTAGTTCACAAGTTATGTCATAAGCACTCACCAAGACCTTTCTTAATCAAAATAAGTAATAGCTCATTTAGAGAATGACAGGCAATTATTTACATGCAAAATTATTTGCAGGAAGAAGTAGAACCAGAACCTGTTGTACAAGAGACTCCTTATGTTCCCGTCTTCCAAAACCTAAATGTGTCTTGTCCCAGTGGGCTTCTAGTGACCTTCATTGGGCAAGAGACTACAGGTGAGTGCTAGCTGGGGTGGGGCAGGGAGGCAGGGAGCCAGCATCTTATAGAAAACAGATTAGCATTTGAAAGTGTCTATTTTCCTATCACTACCTTTTGTTGCAAATGAATGATAGATTATTTTTAAATAATGAAAATGATAATGATGATTATTTTCAAACATATACTTTGCCTGAATTCTGAGTATTTGAAATATATATGGAAAAATACAAATATTATGATCTGGGTACTAATAACTCCATTTTATAAAATACAGGCATTGAGGRTTTAGGAGGATCAGTAACTTCCTCAATTTCTAGGTGGCAAAGCCATTGCTCCTAACAGTTCCTAGGTGGCTCTGACTTTCTGCCTCTCCAGAGGGCCATAGGTACAGCACATTGTAGTTCACCAAAACAAAGGACAAAGTAGATTGAGATGGGTGCACATTAAATCAATGAAGAAAACCAGGCTTGATTCCCAAGAATCAGAATATAATTTATATATTCTGTTATTTCTGTTGGTTCTATACATGGCTTCTCACCTATTCAGATGAGCAACTAAGTACAAGTAGGATCTCTTTAATTAACCTGATGGGGTAGCACACTGGCAATTGACTTTGAATATAATTTAAATGGGGAACCACTGATGTAGAAGTAGGAGATTCAGCAAAGGCTGCACCAAACTAGGGCTTGAGTTCCAAAGCTGGCCCTGGCATGAACTCACTACATGATTGTTTAAATCACTTACTGTTTCTGAACCATGTTTCTTCATCTGATAAACATTAGATTATACCAATGCTTATTTATTTTTTCTCAGCCACACTTTAATTTTAATTCCTTTTGATACAACACATTTGCAAAGTATATCTATCAAAGAAAAACATCAACTTATTTTTTAAAAATGTAATGTTTTATTTGTTTCACCAACCAAAAATAAATTTAGTTATATATAGTTAACCTGTCTTAATTTTGCTTTTCATTGGGCCTTCTGAGTTATTAAAAGTAGACCATGTAACCCTGATCTATTTCTAAGAATCCCTCGTGGTGCAGATTTTCCAAGATGGGACCCTCTGGGCTCAGTGGTCACTAAGTGTCTTCCACAGTCTGAGATACAATAAGTATACTGGGAGGGTTATCATTTCTAAGTTCCAGGGTGTGTTTCCTTGCTTGATCCTATTATAAAATCCCAGCATTATACCTGTCACATCTGTCTTTTGTATTACTTTTATTATTTACCCTGTTGTGCTCAGCTTCATGTCAAGATAGAGCTTATGGTTATTAACTCTACSTGAAACATGCCATCTTTTAAAAATCTTCCATGTATCATGAACATCCTATTTCAAGTATGAACATATCTATAACATAAATACCAAAGTAGCAATATCTTTAAGGTCAGGCTTGAATATCAGAAGGAAAAGCCTAGGTTTGAGTTCTCTCCTGGGTAATTTTGGAATTCAGTGAGAAATTATTTCCAAAGTCGAATAGGGTGTTGAATGTTAGTAGAGTTTGTTGTTGTTGTTATTGTTGTTGTTTTGTGGTAGTGGTGGTTGTTTCTACTGTATAAGAAAATGATTCAACTGAGTACAGAGCTGCTCTGGAAGCTGAGGCAGGAGGATCACAAGTTCAAAGTCAGCCTCAGCAACTTAGCAAGGCSCTAAGCAACTTAGCAAGACCCTGTCTCAAAATCAAAAATAAGAAGGAGTAGGAATGTGGCTCAGTGGTTAAACACCCCTGGGTTTAATCCCTCATGCCCCAAAACAAACAAACAAACAAAAAAACTTATAACCTCTCCAAGCTCTATTTCTTTACTTGAAAACTCTGAGAAATGAAAGTGTCTAAAAGTTTGTTGAGGTGGACTGAATAAGACACAAATACCAAGCACCTGGCATATATAAATATCAACTAATATTTTATATTATCACTATTACTTCTTCTGTAATTTGAGGGGTGTCATGAATGGCCCTCATTGTGAAATAATTCCCCACTATCCTGATAGAGTTCTTAAAATCTCATCACTACATCTTAACTCCTTTGGTTAAGGCTGCAGTAAACCATATTATAAATTTAAAGGAAATCATTAAATTAGCAAAAGCAGAAAAGGCACTATATGCCAGAATTTCTCTATTAAAGCCCCAGGGATTGAATCCAAGGACACTTAACCACTGAGTCACATCCCGGGCCCTTTTTATATTCTATTTTGAGACAGTTCTCACTAAATTGCTAGGACCTTGCTAAGTTGCTGAGGCTGTCTTTGAACTTTGCCCCAGCCTCCAGAGCCAGTGGGGTTAGAGGTGTGCACCACTGTGCCCAGCTAGTACTTTCTTTTTGAAGAAGCATATTAGGTGCTTTCCTCTTTGTTCGCCAACAGCAGAACACTGAGAGGAATCTGGGTCTGGTGAAAGGTGAGGGGATTGTGTTAAATTTGAAAGATAATGGGTGACTTGGGAAGGACATGAGTGAGGGACTTCCCTGGGCTTCTGAGCAACCAGGCAACACCCTGGTAGCAATGTGTACCCACTGTGTATTTACTCAAAGGAGAAAGAAAAGCACCAAAAGAGAGACATTGAAAACACCCAATATAGCAAAACTCTTCTTCCTTCATAATTTTGCCCTGAGATGTTCTGGGCTTCCTTACAGAKAATGGCTTATTCACAGAGAAGGTACCTATCAAGCATTTACAGATGACCTTATTCACTACAATTAAGTGCAACAAGGTCACTGAGGAACCAGTTCTCTGGGCCATCTGTCAGGGAATGGAAACTGCACTATTATTCAGATGCAGACAAAAGAATGAAAACAKTTCAGTAAGAAAATAACTCCTAGTCTCCCAGCATTGCCCAGTTTGCAGAGTAGCTTTTAATCTTTTACTTTTTCTTTCTTTCTTTTTTTTTTTTTTAAGATCAGCATGTTGTAGCTGAGGAGCCCACCTGGAACATCATGATCCGTCAGAGTTACCCAGAGAAGTTGAAGCACTCTCAGTTCTACAGGGCAGTGATGCCACCTGTGGAGCAGGAGGTATCAAGAGTTATCACCAGTCAAGGCACTGTTGTCAAGTATATGTTGGATGGATCCACACAGGTAAAAGAATATATTGTACAAACTATTCTACTGCAAAGTCAAAGACTACAAGTAAGGAAAAGTACTCCAGCAGGGAAGAGAACAAATAGAATAGAATGACACCTTAAAACAAGAAATAAAGAGTAGATTAGTTCAAGGAAGAAAACACCATCTAGACAAAACAATCGACAAGTACACTTGCCATTTCTGTGCATGATCTAAGATTGCAGACTGAACATAGTGTGTACCTCCTCTCCCTCTMAAGTCACCTGAAAGTAATAGAAAAATGCTTTTAGGTAACAAATCCATGAAAGTATTAAAGAATAACAAAATGTATCACCATTAGATCAGAATATTTGGAAAATTCCTAGAAAAATGCAAGTCAGATCAGATCAGATTGATGGAGAAACAAGAACCAAGTTTAAAGCATGTACGAGAGAAAAACTGTAAAAATCAACCTGAGAGTTGGAACATGTATTCTACCTCTGGATTCAGAAAATCGGGGCAGTTCTGCAGGTTACCGGTCAAGGCACTTATTACTGTCTGGAGGTTGGGAACATGAGGCTAAGAAGCCGTGATCCCTGTCCCACCCTACCACAGTGATCACAAGGGTGGAGTTCCTGAAAACAAACATTACCCCACCAAGAATTGACAAGTGATTTCCAATGAGAACTGAGACGGTATACCTAGGAATTATCAACCTGGAGGGAAACCAACCTCATGAAAATAAAGCATAAATTTCAATAATTAATAAAATCACGCAAATATAAGAATAAATACTTAAACAACAAAAATTAATTAACATAGGCAGAGACTTGAGAGAATAATAATTTCTCAACAAAATAGCAACTTAAAAATCCTATGGGGATAAAAAGAGTGCTTATAAATGAAAAATAATTGTGAAAGATCAAGGAGTAAAGGGTGGGTTATGAGGAAGATTGGAAAAAAAGATGTGGAAAAGGGATATATGTAGTAGAATTTCTAGAAGAAAAAAATAGAATAAAGGGGGGAATAATGAAAAAAAACAACATTAGAAATTTCCCCAACACTTAAAAAAAATACTTCAGTTTACATAGATCCACCAAGTGCCAATCAGGACTGACACTAATCAATCTTTAAAAGATCATAAATATGTCATCATGCAATTTTAAGATTGCAYAGAAAGAAAAGCTTTAAAACCTTCTGAAGGGAACCAGTTACCTATAAAAAAAATAAGAACCTGATACACATTGTCATATTCAYTGGGAGGCTATCCATACCGATACTGATAGTACCCTAGAAATATCATACATACTAAGTAGATATGAGTAAAAACTACACATGTAAGTACATACATATCTTTAAATATACTCACTGGAAAATTTGAGATGTATAGGGAAAGAGTGAAGAATAGGGCAAAAAAAACCTAAATCAACAAAACATGGAAAGTGAAAAGAAACCAACCAGAAGGTAAATGGAAAATAGAAAATGCTATTATCATGCTGATTATTAAGCTGTTATCTTTGAGCTCCAAATCTACCCTTTTGTAACATTCTTTGTGATGCTGAGTCTGGAGGCGTACCATCAGCCTTTCTTCTTTGGATTATTCTGAACCTATTTCAGTTGGACACAGAGTGTTTATTGCTAACTAACCTCTTTTTTGCTTCTGAGAATGCTGAGCACTCTCATTCTCCCTTCAGATCCTCTTTGCAGATGGCRCTGTGTGCAGTAGTCCTGATTCAGGTCGTGTTTATTCTTCTCCTGAAATGCCTACCAGCCTTCATAACGGAGAGATGAGGGAATCACCTTCTCAGCAAAAATCAGAAATACCTCCCTTTGAGATTGCCATCACAAAGAAAGGTGACAATAAAAGCCTCTCAATTGATACTGGTTTTAATATAGTCTGAAGATGTTTAATAAGTGTTCAATATCATTAGCATAATAATTCTTACCTTTGCTATGAATATATTCACATATATGCATATACATACAGATAATTTTTATTGTAATAGCAGAATTATATATAGTTTCATGAACTGCTCTTTTCTCTTAATAATAAAAAATGAACTACTTTTTCCTATGCCATTATATACTCATACACAAAATTAGCAATACCACCTGGGCTGCTACTTAGGGTTCATTGAGAAGGTCAGGGGTGTCAAAATTCTGAGCAACACATCTGGTTTGCTCTCGGCCTTTCCTCATCATCACAAGATGGCACAGCAGTTCCAGCATAAAGTCCTCATATGGCAGCTTCCAGGTAGGAGAGAGAGAAAGAGAATACATGCACTCCCCTCATAATGTCTCTCTTCATTATAGAGGAAAATATTTCCAGACCACCTGATGCCCAGTAGACCTCCTCTTGCATTTCATTGACTAGACCTGGCTGTGGACCTAGACCAAGAAAAAAAGTGTCTGACATTTTCTGCCCTTGTGTCAGGAGAAGAGCATGACTAAAATGGGGGAAAAGAAGGTGGATGACTGTTGAATAAGCAACTCCCATAATTGAAATCACAAGATAGCTGTCCTGACAAGTATTTCTCATGTATGCGCCTACCACGAGGATAATAGGGAAATATCTACTTCCTCATATCCTTGCAATGATAGATATTATCATCATTTTAACCTCACTCAACCTTACTAATAATCAATGTATTTAATCATTATGCTAATCTGCACTTATTTGATTACCGGTAAGGTTAAACATTTAGAGATGCTTGTTGGGTTTTCATTTATTTTGTGACTTTTCACAAATATTTAGTATTTTAATTATTTTTTAGGTCTAAGTATTACCTAATTTCTATTATAGCTCTTCCTTTGACTTTCAACTTATTTATACTTCTTCCAACCTTTCCAAATCTGTTTCTAGTTTGCTTTTATAATTGATTTTATTTTTTTAATTTAGTTATTTATTTTAACTAGGGATATTTGAGAGCAGAATGTATTCTGATTCATTGTACACAATCGCAGCACAACTTTACRTTTGTATGGTTGTACACGATGTAGCATCGCACTATATATATATATATATATATAATTGWTTTTAAACTAATTGTTTTAAAGGTATTGAAATGTAATTTATAGCCTCATATACAGTCAAGGTTTTAAAAAATCCTGTGCTTGAAAATAACAAGTATCCTATAGTTACATTGTACAGTGTTCTCTATATTTATTAGATAAAACTTGTTAGTTGTGTTGTCCAGATCTGTGTCTGATTTCAGTAAACTTGTCTGTAAAGAACAAGATAGTAAATATTTTAGACTTTGTGAGCCATATGGTCACTGTCATAATTACTTCACTTGGCCATTGGAGCATAATCATAGCCCTGGATAATACATTATTAAATAAGCCTTGGCTTAGCTCTGTTCCAATAAAAGTATGGACACTAAAACTTGAAGTTCATATAATTTTCAAGTGTCATAAAATRTTATCCTTTTGATTTTTTTATCTATTTAGAAATTTCTTTAAAAATAATTACCTCATAAACTATACAAAACAGACATCAGGTCTTATTTGTCCCACAGGTCAAAATTTTCCTATATCTTTACATATTTTTAAATTTACTATATCAATTTATTCAGCAAAATTATGTTTAAAGTTCCTGGAAGGATAGAATAATCTCTTCCAAGCTGTACTCCTTATAATTTAATCTTTATTTCTTTACTTGAAAAATAAGTTTGTCTTTTTTAATGACTGTCAGATTTTCCTTCATATATTTTGAAGATATAATTTTAGATACTTACAACTTCAGAATTGCTATACATTCTTGGTAAATTTAATCTTTCATCGTTTTGCAATGCTTTTTATCCTAGGATTCTTTCTTCCCCCTAAAGTCTTCAGTGCTTAGATTATCATAGTATTGTGGGATTCTCATACAAAGAGACAGGGCAGCGGAACATTCAGCAAGAAACAGTGTTTTATTGGTGCCTATTTTATTGGTCTGGTACTGGCCTAACAGATTCGGTATCCAAAGGCTTAGCCCAAAGCACAGCAGGGCCTTGTCTCATATAACTCTTGTTAGTTACTCTGCCCTTGATAACTTTTTGTCTCCCATACAAGATAATACACATTTTGATTGGGCATTCTATTTCTATATATGTATAGAGTTGCAACCATGTTATAACAGAGTTGTGGAATGTGCTCACTGATACTGTGGGTCTGTTGATTTGACAGGGCAWAGGAGAGATACCAGGGCAAAGATCCACAGGGCAAAGGAGAGATACCAGGTTATCTCTCCTTTGTTTTGAGAAACAAAGGAATGAATAGTCATTGCAAGAGAGCACAGCAGCTTCAGACCCCACCATCTGTTGTTTAATACTTTGCCAATATAACTTTTTCCACACTTACATTTTACTTTCTGTGGCTTGGGTTTCAATGTGTCTCTTAGGAGCAGCATGTAACTAGCTATTTAAAAATTAAATTGAAAATTTTTTTTGTCTTTAGAGATTTTAGCCCATTTACTGTATAACTGATATTTTCTGAAATGTCTTTACATTGTCCTCATTCTTGAAAGAAAATCCACTGTATGTAGAGTTCTAAATAAACGGCTATTTTCCCCTAGTACATTCGGAGTAATCTTCCACACTCCTTGCTTCTGATGTTGCTGATTAAGAGTTGACTGTCAGTCTAATTGTTGTTGCTTTAAAGAAAACCTGCCTTTGAAATATTAGGCTTTTATTACAATTTCAATATGATCTGGCTAAGTGTGAATTTCTATTCATTTATGAGGGACTGCGGTGCCTTGGGCTTCTTGAATCTATAGATGAGCATCTTTCATTAATTCTTCAAATTTCTTCATAACTATCTCTTCAAATATTGTTTTTGATAATTTCTTTCTTGTCTTTTTCTGTAATTTCTATCAAACATATGTTAAAAGCCTTTTTATGTCTTTCATGACTTCTGTTGCTTTGGCCCTCTCAGCTTCATTCTGAATAATTGTTTTAAATCTCTTTCAGCTCTCTTTGAAACTGTTCTATCTCCTGGAAAACATGCATCTTAATTTTTTTAAACTTCAGGTATTACATTTTTTTGACATGACTTCTCTTTTGGAGAATATAGGCCTTTAGGTCTCAGAGTTTGGGAGACATCTCATATTAAACTCACCCCACTCTAGACTGAGTAGGCTTCCTTCCATTCCTCCCCAAGTCGTACGACAGTAAGAAAGCAAATACCCAAGGTCTAGCAGTTTGACAGACCCACAGGGCAAAACACCACTTAAGTGCTATTTTTACCTTTCTGGGGTCTCACTTTTACTCAGACCTTGGCATGTGTTGACCTTACTGTCGTTACCAGCTCACAGACACTTTGGATTAAAAAAATGTTCTCTGGGAGTTGAGTCATTTTGGGCGGAATTCTTKGTATCAAGTCTCTGATGTTCCTGAAAATGGAATTCCAGCCATGACTGATCCTTTTCTCTTGCTTTCAGTCTGATCTTTAGCCAGTTTGCTTCACTTTATTGATTTCTGTTCTTAATACTGGAAGATTAGCTGATGAAGTTTCAGAATCTGTATGTRATGCTCAATTCCTTGTGTTGTCTCACCTCTCATACATCCATCCAATCCCTTCATATCCAAATTTGTCCAATTAAAATTGTACTTGTTTATCTCTTGTCTTTTATTCTCTACTTGTTTAAAACCTCTTGACTGCTTTTCCTACTTTGATTAAATAGTTCTCCAAATTCCTTCCAAAGGCATCTAACTAATCTTTTGACCACATTGCTATCCGTCTTCAAAYTCTTTAATTAGTAAATATCACCTAAAGGAAAAATTCTGATATTTTCCTCATATTGCAAAGGTGCACTTTACCAAGTCAATACCCTCCTCTCCAGTCTCTTTCATCAACCAAAATCTTTTGAAATTTATCCTCTCCTAGTAGTTGGCCTGTTAGTAGTTGTCTGAACATACCATGCTATTCCCCAACCCATTCCCTTTCTCATATCCCTCAGGATGGAATGACTTTTCCATAGTTTACCTCCTTTGATAAGAAAATAATAGGACAAGGCAGAGGATGAAGAAGAAATGTGAAGCAGTAGAAGAAAAGCTAATACCTAAAGTATTTGCTACCATTTCTGGAGGATCTTCTCTACCCATTCTGAAAATGACATTTTAAATTGCCAATAACATTCTAAAAGTGTAAATAGGTCAGTTAAATCTTAGAGCAATGGAAGGGCTTAACTCCAAGTCTGTTTTCTTTGGTTTTCCCCATTTATTGAATCCTAATTAGTTAGATGGAGATTCATGCCCTGATATACATTTCCTGGGTCTGAACATGGAAAATCTTCTGGAACTACCAATCCTTTACTATCTTTGTATGCAATTTATTTCTAGTTGTGGGTTTATGTCATCATTGAGCCTTGATAATACTGTCAAATCTTACCTACAAATAACTCATTGTTATTCATGGAAATGGAGTAAATCTGCCCTGAGATAGTGATTGAGATAGGGATCTCATGTGAACATTCTTATGTATGTCTTTGGTGAATATATGTGCATGTTTCTGTTGGGCACATATCTAGGAATTGAGCTGTCAGGTCATGGGAGTTCACTTGGTACTGGGCATCTTTTTATTCTGATGGGTTCAGTGTTGTGCTTGAACTGGCTCACAAGAGCCAATTATTAAGTGTTTTAGTAAATACGAAAGCTGGTTGTTAAACACAACCATTATTAAAAATTAAATTATATTAAAAACAAAAGTAATAAGCATCTGAAGTGCATTATTGCCTTCTTCCTACATTTGACTATCATCTTATACTAACTGTACCTGAGTGGTAGAGACATCTTGTGGTGATGTGCCACCAAGTACCTCTTCAGCAGCACCACACAGGTGACGTGAAATGACCACACTGGAGGATTCACACACGAAAAATGGAAAATGCTTCTAATTAGGGCTCAATTTACTGCTCTGTTGATTTATATAGACTTAAGAAAGTGATGGAGAAAATGTTAATAAGGCAAATTAAAATCAAAGGAGTCATGTTTATGTGTATTTATAGCTCTATTGAATTAGCACAGAAAATTGTCAAAGCATGGTTGAATTGCATCCTTAGATATGGATATACAATATGGATCAACAAAAGCATTCTGTAAGAATCAGTGAGCTGTGTGGAATTTACAATATGAACTATGTGTAGATATACTAGACAGATATTGATCTCAGAGTTCTATGAGGATACCTTCATTTCTGTCTTTCTGATCCCAGTGGATGTCAGCTGGGGACGATGGAAATGGGGGAATGAATCAGATGTTTGTCAGTGTGGTACTTAAGTGGTACAAATTCATCTCTCCTAWTGAGAGTCCAGAGGTACACCTGGCTTGTGATGTTCCCCAGAACAAAGTTGAAGAAAAGTGTTGCCTAAATGTGATTAAYAAAATGAAAAAGTGAGGGGAAATCAGAAGTTAACAGCTGGTACAGTCCAGAATTCAATGTCAAAAGAAGGAATCTTAACATTTGACAGATATGCAAGAGAAAAGGTAGACTTTAAAATCCAGAATACAGAACCCCAAGTCTGGGATCCAAGGAGGTTTAAGCAAGATATAAAAGTGTACAGAAATTAACTGAATAGCTTTTATGCAGCAGACAGCAAGTTGTGTATATTTCAGGGAAGGTGATGGGGATCCAGCCAAGGCTCATATGGCAGAACTAAGATATTCATAGCCTGATATTTTTCCCTGTTAAGAAATAACATAACTGGTGAAGACCACTCAGCAATGTCTATGTCTTGATATCTGAGGTAGTTTATATGGCTTCAAAACTTATGATGTAAATAAACTATGTTATGTTATGTTGTATTCTACTTTAATTTCAACAGGAAAAGGTCACAAAAATCAATCATCAATGGCACATAAGAGTGAAACCCAYGAACCTCAACCAGAAGTAATTCAAACAGTAACTCCTATGGAGATTCWCATGGGCACCTGGCTTACAACCACACCTGAAGGCGATCGGATTGGCACCAAAGGCATAGAAAGAATAGCGGGATTGGCCCCRTTTTTATCCTTTGAGTCCACAGATCCTATCAATGGAACGGTATGGCAAACTACTGCTTATTGCAAAATCGTTTAAAYCATTAGATCCCTGAAACAACATACTGAAGAGTGTCTAGTAAATAACAACTTTTAAATAGTTTTTAGTAGTGGATGGGCAGATGGATGGATGGATGGATCTTCTCCACTCTAAAAACATTATATAGTATATTTGACAAAAATATTGTATGCTAACTTTGCRTGTGTACATGAGTAACCAGATCAGAACAAAATACTAATTTTTGAAATGAAAGACAGGTCATGGATTTTCTATACCACTTCAAGATATATATGATTAATGATGTCACATGTTTCCTAATATTAAACTTGCTTGTCTGTATGTCTATGCCCATCACCGTGAGTGGTARAAATTTGTTCATGATCCTTCATTTCAAAGAACTCAAGGTGTATTTAAGAATGTGCCATGCTCCCATTGAATAACTCAAGAATTCAACACCAAGGAGAAACTATACAAAAGATTTTATGTGTACCGTAAAAATTAGTAGTATGGAGAATAATGTTTACTTATAGTATGAAATCACAACTCTTGAATTAAACGGCACCTTCCTTGTGCCAAGCTTCCCTTCAGGGGTTTTATGTACACTGTCTCATTCAGTCCCAACACCCATGTATATTGGCACACAGATGAGGAAACTTGACATAGAGAAGCGGTAGCCTCTATCCCCTAACCAATCTCCATGTACCACTCTGATGACATTAGGCTCAACACGTGCAAGCCAACTTCTAGTTCACCAATCCAGTATAGTCCTGCAGAGTGGGGATTCGCCAGGATAAAAGGCAGCCACACACACCAGATTTCATTTTCCCAGACAGACCTGGGTCAACACAGTCCTGATGCTAACTTGTAATTCACAAATATGCTTTGTCACTTACTTGTTAAGTGACATTGAGCAAGTTTCTTAACTTCTCTAAGCCTAATTTTCCTCATCTGCAAACTGGGGGTAACTGCCTGCCTCAAAGATTGTGGCAAGTTATAGATTAGAAAGACAAGCTAGAACTTTCACTTGAAAATAAATAACTATGTTTTGATGGTACCATCTTGGTATTCAGTGGAGCATAACAATAAGTGCACTGGTGATTAACCATTCAGCCCAATGATTGTGCRCTGCCTGTACGTGTTCAGGTTATGACGACTCGAGAAGATAAAGTGGTCATTGTACAAAGGAAAGATGGTACTCGGATTGTGGATCATGCTGATGGTACCAGAATTACAACCTTTTATCAAGTTTATGAAGATCAGATTATTTATCCAGAAGATCAAGAAACAAGTAAGTTTTATTTTTCAAGTATTTTTATAACTCATTAGCATAAGATAGAAATAATTCTTAAAGATTGTTGAGCACACACCTAAGAAAAATAATTTTTTATAAATTAGACCAACCAAAGGATACTCATGCAATCCATATCAGGACCTGTTAGAACCCTGTGTTGTGTTGCTATTATTATTATTATTATTAGTAGTAGTAGTAGTAGTAGTAGTATTTTGCCATTTGTCTTAGTTTCTAATTTAATTTTATTATAAACTGACAAATTAAAATCATATCTATTTGTCATATGCAACATGATGCACTGAAAATGTATATGCAGTAACATAACTCAGCCAATTGAATTAACATGCATTACCTCAACACATCCTTTTTTTGTAGCGAGAACACTTAGAATCTACTCTTAGTAATATACAAAATAAAGTATATTATTATTTACTATACTCACCATATTACAATAGATATCTTGAACTTAGTTCTTCTATCTAACTGAAATKTTGTGTCCTTTGACCAACATCTCCCCCAAATGTGAACCCTGTCAATAACCCTTWAGAGCCACCATTCTACTCTCTACTTGTGTGAGTTTAACTTTTTTTGAGTCCACATTTAAGTAAGATCTTGCAGTATTTTTCTTCCTGTTCCTGGCTTATTTACTTAACATAATATACTCCAGTTTCATTCATGTTGCTGCAAATGATAGGATTTCCTTCCTTTTAAAGGCTGAATGGCCTCCCATTGTATAGCTTTATATTATTTTCTTTATCTTTTCATCCRTGGTGGACACTTAGATTGATTCCAGATCTTGGCTTCTGTGATAATGGCTGCAATGAAGGTGGGAGTGCATCACTATCATTTATTATGCTCTTTATACTCAACAGAGACAGGAGTGATAACAGTTTGAGTTAGCTTATGGATAGTCTTTCTCATTTATAACACTAACGTCCACATTGGTGTCAACTGAAAACAAATAATCATGACCCATTCATCCTGGATATTAGCCCTCAGATATGTTTCCTTTGATCCTGAAGGCATCTAATTTGCATATACAGGTGACTTTGGGTTGGTCTTCCTTCAAATCTGAGCATATCTTATTGTCAGCAAGGTAGTGTAAGAACAAAGGAAGCTGCAGCTGCTAATTAACTGGAACCTGCTCAAAGAATCAAAGAGCCTGTCACTCTTCCTATCCTGAATTTAAGGAGTATTTTTAAAGGGAAATTATTTCCTGACTACCCTTTTACTAAATGCCAGAGCTTGTTTTTCTTTTATTGTATATATTTAAGGTGTGTAACATGATGCCTTGATATCTTTACATATAGTAAAATGATTACTATAGTCAGACAAACTAACATGTCCATCACCTCACATAATTATTATGTGTGTGTAAAGAACACTTAAAATATACTTTCATAAAATATTTACATTATATAATACAATATTATCGATTACAGTCCTAATACTATATGTTAGATCTCTAGACATTCATTCTGCATATATGCAAGTTTGCACCTTTGACTCACATCTCCCCACTCCTGCTCGGTAAAATCATGTATTTAATATGATGCACTAATTTTGTTTTGTTTTTGTGTATGTATGTATGTATATATAGAAAGAGATACTCTTCTCTGTTCCACAAGGAAACAGGTACAGAGGTGCTACTTTCAACACTGAGTACTATATTGAAATATTGCAAAAACATAAATATCCATCTATAACAGAACAGAAAAATAAAATATGGTATGTTCATACAAAAAGAACACTGTATAGTGGTTCTAAGGAATATCACACACACACACACACACACACACACATATGCACACACACGCACACACATGCGTGCACACACACACACTTATCAAAACTGCCCAAGGCTTCCACACAATGTTAAAAAGAAAAAAGCAAGTATAGAAATGGTAGGTATAGTAATGTATATACTCATATAACTCCATAGAGTAATATATAATTATGTAATCATATAATTACATGGAGTAATGTATATACTCATATAACTCCATAGAGTAATATATAATTTTTGTCAATTTAAAGAAAAAAATATTACATATTGTTTTGTCACATATATTTATATTATAAAAATTGATTGTAAGGAGTAGTTAAATCCAGGCACAAGAGAAACTTCAACTTTATAAATTTTCTTATATACATATTATAAATATTAAAACAAATATGGCAAAATAGTAACAAGTGTAATTTAAAAAAAAATTTTTTTAGTTGTAGTTGGACATAATACCTTTATTTTATTTATTTTTATGTGGTGTTGAGGATCCACCCCAGGGCCTTGCATGTGCTAGGCGAGCACTCTACTGCTGAGCCACAACCCCAGACCCAACAAGTGTAAATTTTGATTGGTGAATACATAGGTGGTCAATTTAAATGTTTTGCTTTTTGGTTTTTCAAATTGAAAAACATTCAAAATAAAAAGAGTAATGAGAATAATACAGGATACTAAATTTAGCAGGAAAATTTGTTCTGGAAGGATTATTCTGAATTGACAGACTAGGCCATACTCCAACCCTGTGGAATCTGCTTTCCATGGGAATCCAGTCAGCCAGGAGACAGCAGCAAGATCCACAGGATGGGATCTGTTTTCAGTGTCTGCCTTATCTCAGGTCTGCTTTCCATGTGTTTGCTCATAGCTGAAGAACCCCAGACTATCACCAGACAGGTGAAGTGTATGAGGATAGAAAACTCATATTATGCCACTGTCATCACCAACTGCGAGGACAGCAGCTGCTGTGCCACCTTTGGGGATGGAACGTCTGTTATTGCAAAACCACAGGGAACATACCAGGTAGGTCTAGTTAGAAAATGAGGAGTGCTAAAGGTAAGTGTCCATTCTGCTAAGAAAATCTACTCCCCCAGGGCAGTGAACATTTCTACAGTGAAACTGCTCTTATTTTTTTTTTTCTCCTGAATTTAGAATATACTTCTCGGACTTTAATTACTCATCAACCTTTGTTTTGCAAAGGTTTGGTAACTTTGAATTAGGTTATAAGCCAAACATTTGCTAAGGATCCCCCTATGTGCTAGTGTTATGGGTGTTAGAAGCATTTGGATGATCTGGCCCCTGCCTATCTGCTGAACTTCCCCTCCAGCCATTTCCAGCTTCTTTTTTCTTTGYTTTTTTGTTTTATTTGATCGATTGATTGAATGATACCAGGGATTGAACCCAAGGACCCTTACTTAACCTCTGAGCTACATCCTCAGCCCTTTAAAAAAATATATTTGTATTTTGAGCCAAGTTCTCCCTAGGTCAGCCTCACTAAATTGCTGAGGCTGGCTTTGAACCTGTGAAGCTCCTGCCTCAGCCTCCCAAGCCCTTGGAATTATAAGGCATATGCTACTATACCCAGCCTCCAGCCTCCTTCTTAACTCTCTGTCCCTCCCTCCAGTCCATCCCCACTGTCTGAGGGCATATCGTCTGTGTACTCCTGGGAAAGCAGTTTGCCTTGTTGAAGCAAAGCTTTGTTCTTGGAAGGTCAAGGGGGAGCATGTATGTTAGCACCTCTCCCATCTCCCTCCATTTTCCTCTTAAACACAATTACCTGGTGTCATCCTGCAGTCCCTGTAGTCTTGAAAGGATTTGCCTTCACCATTTTTTTCTGGCTAGAGACGGAATGTGGAGCCAAGGCACCCCATACCACCTCACAAGGTACTGAGAACTCAGCCAGACATGATGAACAAAGATCTCACTAACAAACCTGTGTTACTGAAGCCAGTTTATCCCTTCTGACAGTAATGTCGTCCTCCTTCATTCAGTGTAGATTATCATGGGGTAAGGGGAGTACTGAAAGTGAGAGATGAAAGAAAACGTTTACATGAGAGATGAAAATGTTCATGTCCTCGAATTAGGCAATGGTTTCTTTGATACCGTTCCAAAAGTTTAAAATAAAAACAATTTAAAAAAAAATTTTTTTTGAATAAAAATAAATTTGTCTCACAGGACACCAGAAAAGCAAAAGATAAACTACAGAAGGTACTATTTGCATAKCATATATATGATAATGATTATCTAATGCATAGGATAAATAAAGAACCACAACTTAACAATAAAATGACTAGTAATCCAATTTTAAAATGAGCAAAGGATTTTAATTTCTCCAAGAAAAAAACAAATGGCGAATAAACCAGAAAAACATTCTTAACATCATTAGTCACTTAGATAAGTGCAAAACAAACCACAATCAGATGCTACTTAAAACTCACTAGAATAACTGTAATCAACAAGAGGGACAATCACAGTGTGAGCTAGGATGTGGGAAAACTGGAATCCTGCACACATTGCTGGTGGGGATAATAATACTGCATTATTTTGGGAAACTGCTTGCCAATTCCTCAAAAATAAAACATAGTTGTCATATGACTCAGCAGATGTATCCCTATGTATATATATATATATATCCAAGAAAAATTAAAACACACACGCACACAAAAACTTATACATGGATGATTAAAGCAGAGCTTTGAGATTATTTAAAAAAAAAACTGTTCAACAACTCATGAATGGTACATTAAATGTGAGATAGTCATAGAATGAAATATCATTCACCCATAAAATGTAATGATGCTAAGTGAAAGAAGCTAGACTGGAAAGGCCACATGGGGCATGCTTCTATTTATATGAAAAGTCTAGCACAGGTAAATTCAGAGATAGGGGATTAGTGGTTGCCAGAGCTTAGAGCCAGGAATGATGCACATGACTGCTAATGGGATCGGGACCTTTGGGACTGATAGAAATGTTCTGGAATTAGTAATAACCACACAATTTTGGAACATGCTAAAAAATGACTGAAGTATACACTTTTAAAGTGTATAATTGTTTATTTGAAATTTTTTATTATTAACACATTAATTTACAAATCACCAGGTTTATCTAGGATATTCACACACACACACACACACACACACACACACACACACACACACACATATATATCATACATTGGTCAAGTCCATCCTCCATTCTCCTCTCCCTCCCACCTCTCTCCATCCCTTTCCCATTCCCTAATAGTCCTAAATGGTGAATTTATAATTCATGAATTATGTTTCAGAAAAGAATCTCTCTGAACTAGAAGTCATTACATAAACTCTATTACTTAAGGACTCCATTGGTCACAAGAGGTGTGAGAACCAATAAAAGCTTCTAATATTTATYCCATTGCTTTGGGCCCTTTTAGAGATGCTTTTTATCTAAAAACCTGATAGGTTTTACATGTTTTGTTTACCCCAGCTAAAATGCATTAAATGTAGAAAATAAAGGGCACAGAGCAATTTCTTAGAAGAAATACTAAAGTGGATAGGAAACGTGAGAACACAGAAGAACTGTATCTTAATAATTCAGCTTGTCTTATCAAGTGCTCCTTCCCAAGGGTCAAGTCTCTCTTGGTTTATGTTTTCTTCCAGGAAAGAACAGTTTGTGATTAGGACCTACTCATCTTTTTTCTTCCTAACATGATTTTCTAAGACCTCAAATGCAAATAAGAAATTGAGGATACTCTCTGCCTTGCCTTTCCCCTTCCAGGTGCTACCTGCAAACACAGGCTGCCTTTACATTGATAGGGATTGTTCAGCTACGTACTGCCATGATTCCAGTACTATCTACCATTTCCAAAAGCGTGAGCACCTGAGATCCAGCAGGTACATCATGAAGCACACATCAGCGATTATCTGTGAGGTCCTGGATCCTGAAGGAAACAGCTTTCAGGTGAAGCACATCTTCAGTATGGAGAGAGAGCCTTGGCTCTGCTTTTAAGACATTTCATGTAGTCAATGGCCATGTAGATTTTACCTCCATCATCTTGGGCTTCAGTTAGCCACTTTCTGCCAATGCTTTGGGCAAACAATGATGAATGCCATTATTTTTTCCTTKATTTTTCAAGTGTACTTTGATGGGGATGGCAAACCCAACAATTGGGGCAATAGACGTGTTAAAACCCAATAGATAATCAGAACAGAAATAAAGAAATATTAGTAGACATTTTTAAAATAATTCCACCACATGAAATTATGTCATTTGTGGGTAAATGAATAGAATTGGAAAACATGATACTAAGTGAAATAAGCCAGACTCGGGTAGTCAAGAGTGGATTGTCTTCTCTMATATATAGAAGCTGGAGGTGGGGGAAAGGGATTATAAAAGGGAGGGATCTCATGAAAACAGACCAATAGAATAGAGAGGAAAGGGATCAAGAGGGAGGAATGAGGGGAGGGCATGGGGGAAGTACTAGGGAATTATGTTATATATGTGTATGTACAAATATTTCAAGTGAATTCTGTGTGTGTGTGTGTGTGTGTGTGTGTACTAGTTAATATAATAATAGAAGAAAGATCAGTACAGTAGAGCAAGGAGATCAGGGGAGAGTGGAGGGGAGGGAAAGGGAAGGTACTGGGGAATGAGACTGATCAAATTATATTATGTGTAGGTATGAMTATGGAATAATGAATCCCACTATCATGATAATGCACCAACAATAAACAAACAAAAACAATGCCACCACAAAGAACCAGACAAGAATAGTCTGTACCCAGGTAAAAGTGAGAGCAAACACAAGGCTGCAGGCAAATGTATGTGACCAGGCAGAGTCCATGGAGAACTGTCTAGAAAGGCCAAGAATGGGGAGACAGAGAGTCGGGATAGGTGCTCAGCTATTCTGTGGCAATGACCTGTCTTCCATTTCTGTCTGTGGACTCTGAGACTCTCCTCTCACTCTGGTCCAGTCATGGCATGTCCTGGCCACTTGATCTGTATGTCCTATGACTTAAATATGGTTTGTTGGGCTTTTTTTTACACTTTAGTAAAAAAAAAAATCAAAAGAAGAATATTGCATCTATGTAAAAAAGATAAGAAATTCAAGTTTAGTGTTGTTGCATGAAGAACCACTGGAGCACAGACACACTTCAGTTTACTTACTTGTCTTTGGTTGTGTTGGTTCAATAATGGAAGAGCAGACAAAGTGGTTCAAAGACCTAGGCATTAGACCAGAAGCCCTGCGCCTAACAGAAGAAAAAGTAGACCCAAATCTACATCATGTTGACTTAGGACTACTAAAGCATAAGATGTAAAATCAAGAAGCAAGAAATAGGATGGCGTCAAATGAAAAAGCTTCTTCACAGCAAAGGAAAAAAGAGTGTGAAGAGAGAGCCCAGAGAATGGGAGAAAATCTTTGCCACCTGCTCCTCAGGATATCCAGGATATACAAAGAACTCAAAAAACTTAACACCAAAAAAAAAAAATAATAACCCAATCAATAAATGGGCAAAAGAACTGAGCAGACACTTCACAGAAGAAGAAATACAATCAGTCAACAAATATACGAAAAAATATTCAACATCTCTAGCAATTAGAGGAATGCAAATTAAAACTACACTGAGATTTCATCTAACTCTAATCAGAATGGCAATTATCAAGAATACGAGCAACCCCCAAAAATCAAAGGTCAAATGTTCTCTCTGCTAAGTGGATGCTGATCCATAATGGCGGGGCCTGGGGCAGTGCATGGAAAAAATGGAAGGGGGAGGGAGGGAAAGGGAGTGGGAATGGGGGCAGGAATGATGGTGGAATGTGATGAACATTATTACCCTAGGTACATGTATGACTGCACATATGGTACAACGTTACATTGTGTACAATCAGAGAAAAGAAAAGTTGTGCTGCAATTGTGTACAATGAATCAAAATGCATTCTGCTGTAGTATATACCTAATTAAAATAAATAAATAAAAATTTTAAAAAGATATAAAAAAGTAAAAGGCAGAAAGTGATTAGAATTCCTGGACAAAAAAAAAGAATAAAGCAACAATAAATGTTGGCAAGGATGTGGGGGGAAATTTCACTCATACATTGCTGGTAGGATTGCAAATTGATGTGACCACTCTGGAAAGCTGTATAGAGATTTCTCAGAAAACTTGGAACAGAACCACCATTTGACCCAGTTATCTCACTCCTTGGTTTATACCCAAAGGACTTAAAATCAGCATMCTACAGTGAAACAGCCACATCAATGTTTATAGCAGCTCAATTCACAATAGTTAACTATGGAACCGACATAGGTGCCCTTCAACAGATGAATGGATAAAGAAAATGTGATAGATATACATAATGGAATATTACTCAGTCTAAAAGAGAACGAAGTTATGGCATTTGCTGGTAAATGGATGGAAATGGAGACTATCATACTAAGTGAAATAAGCCAATCCTCAAAAGCCAAAGACTGAATGTTTTCTCTAATATGTGTATGCTTACTTCACAATAAGGGGACAAGGGTTAGGGAAGAGTAGAAGTACTTTGGGTTAGAAAAAGAGGAATGAAGGGAAGAAAGGGGAAATGGGAATAGGGCAAATAATAGAATGAATCAGGCATTACTATCCTATGTGCATATATGATTATACAACCAATGTAATTCTATGTTGTATATAACCAGAAGAGTGAGAAATTATACTCTCTATATATGTATAGTATGCAAAATACGTTCTACTATGATGTATAACTAATTAGAACAAATTTTTTAAATAATGGAAGATTTGAGTAGTTGCAACAGAGAATGTAAGGCTTATAAATCCTGAAGTATTTACTTCTGGTCCTTGACCAAAAATGTTCATCAACCCCTACTCTAAGCATTTTTTTCCCTCCCTTCCTTCTTTGCTCTCTCTCACTCTTGCTCTCCTTTCCCAAAATTGGAATTTCTTCCATTGGCTCGTGAGTGTGAAGTTATTTATTTATTTATTTATTTATTTTTTACACATTCATAGCTGGATTTACTTGGAGAAAAGTGAAATCTCATACGACTAAAGTCACAAATGAGAAAACATACAACATATGCCATAAAACAAAACAATTACAACAAATAGCCCCAATATTCTTTCAAAGACGACCTTAAAAAGAAATCATATCTGTTAATACCCAAAGATTTAGCAAGCAAAGGGGAATGGCAATAGCAATAAGAAGTGTGTCAGCCAGCTTTCCATTACTGTGACAAAATACTTRCGTTAAAGCCACTTCAAGGGAGGAGATGTTTCCTTTGCCTCAGTTTCAGCGCTTTCAGTCCATGGTTGCTTGGCCCTGTTGCTCTGGGCCTAAGGGCCTAGGGCAGCATGGTACATCATGACAGGATCACCTACAGAGTTGCCAGGAAGCAAAGATAGAGAGAGGCAGGTGTTGGGGGAATCCTAATATCCTTTATTTAAAATTAAATTATATATTTATCTAATTTGTTATATATGACTGCAGAATGCAATTCATTTCACATTACACATATAGAGCACAACATTTCAAGCCACTATTTGTACACTAAGTATTTTCACACCATTTGTGTCTTTATACACGTACCTAGGGTAATGATGTCTAACTCATTCCACTATCTTTGCTTCTCCCATCCCCCCTCCCCTACCCCTCCCTCCTCTTTGCCCTATCTAAAGTTTGTCTGTTACTCCCATGCTCCCCACCCCCATCACCATTATGAGTCAGCATCCTCATATCACAGAAAACATTTGGCCTTTGGTTTTAGGGGACTGGCTTACTTTACTTAGCATTATATTCTCCAACTCCATCCATTTACCTGAAAATGACATGATTTTATTCTCTTTTAATGCTGAGTAATATTCCATTGTGTATATGTACCAAAGTTTCCCTATCCTTTCATATACTAAAGGGCATCTGGGTTGGTTCCACAATTTAGCTATTGTGAATTGTGCTTCTATAAACAGTGATGTGACTGTATAACTACAGTGTGCTGATTTTAAGTCCTTTGGATATAAACCGAGGAGTGGGATAGCTGGGTTAAATGGTTAAAACTGTTCCAAGTTTTCCAAGGAATCTCTATACTGCTTTCCAGATTGGCTGCACCAATTTGCAGTCCCACCAGCAATGTATGAGTGTGCCTTTTCCTCCACATCCTCGCCAACACTTATTGTTGTTTGTATTCTTGAAAACTGCCATTCTGACTAGTGTGAGATAAAATCTTAGAGTAGTTTTGATTTGTATTTCTCTAATTGCTAGAGATGTTGAACATTTTTTCATATGTTTGTTGATTCATTGTATCTCCTCTTCTGAGAAGTGTCTGTTCAGTTCCTTGGCCCATTTATTGATTGGGTTATTTGGGTTTTTGATGTTAAGGTTTTTGAGTGCTTTATATATCCTAGAGATTAGTGCTCTATCTGATGTGCTTGTAGTAAACATTTGCTCCCATTCTGTAGGCACTCTATTCACCTCACTGATTGTTTCTTTTGCCGAGAAAAAGCTTTTTTTTTTTTTTTGTTTGAGTCCATCCCATTTATTGATTCTTGGTTTTAATTCTTGCACTACAGGAGCCTTATTTAAAAAGTTGGGGCCTAATCCGATATGATGGAAATTTGGACCTGCTTTTTCTTCCATTAGGCGCAAGGTCTCTGGTTTAATTCCTAGGCCCTTGATCCACTTTGAGTTGAGTTTTGTGCATGATGAGAGATAGCAGTTTAATTTCATTTTGTTACGTGGATTTCCAGTTTTCCCCGCACCATTTGTTGAAGAGACTATMTTTTCTCCAATATATGTTTTTGGCACCTTTGTCTAATATGAGATAACTGCAATTATGTGGGTTTGTCTCTGTGTTCTCTATTCTGTACCATTGGTCTATGGGTCTATTTTGTTACCAATACCATGCTGCTTTGGGTACTATTGCTCTATACTATAGTTTAAGATCTGGAATAGTAATGCCACCAGCTTTACTCT